TATATATATACATAGGGCCAAAGACTCGCACAAAAGAAATGTGATTGCTGTAACGGTGAAGTAAGACTCTTTCTTGGAAGTTGAAACTGTTTCAGAATGTTATCAGGTCTGCTGGGGTAATAATAATTATCAAAGACTATAAAGCGCTTACAGTTGGCTTTAGAGAGGGAATTTGCGATACATATAAGATAATATTTATACTATTCATCATATTATGATTTCATTTCAAACCATTCTTTTACCATGTACCCCGGCTGTTCAACGATTCTTCATGCTAGCCTTTTGGCCAATCACTGATATTTTCAACGCACGTCAACAAATATCCCACTTTGAGTAAACTAACATATTACACACATTCTATCGCTGCAGTAGGGGTTGCAACACCTTAGTACCAATTGCACTATGAGAGAAAAGAGAGCAATGTATTTACATTTTGCAATGTTTTTTAGGTGTTCACTTACGGGTGTTGTGCGGGGGGTAGAGGAGGGAGGGGGGGGGGTAGATGTAATCTCAAAAAGGAAGGTTAGAGCATCTGTCAAAATAGTTTGACACAGGGCCCATAATAACTACTTTCTCAGCTACCATCGTCCATTAACAGACTTTTGGATAAAGTAACATAATGCGCTTAGACATCGTTAGTAACAAAATATAGGTCAATTGCCACTCTGGCATTTTGTTCGGAAATCCCTCTGTCACGCTACGTCCATCATTTATAAGACTGGCCTACCAAAACCACGCTACAGCAACCATGGGTCGACAGAGCGGTAGAATCCAGTGCTCTCCAATAGATGTGGTAACCGTTCACGATGTATATGATGAAGGAGAGTAATTTATTAGCCAACAAAAATGTGTTTTCTCAGGTACTGGAATTTTTAAAAAGGGAAGGAAAGATGGATAGCCAGGAGTAGGTCACAGCCAAGAGGATTTCTGTTATGTAATCTCGAGTCTTTTTTAACCTTTATCCTACGGCTCATGTTAGGTTTTATTTTTTGTTGGTGGAAAATAGGAAGGGGTTCAGAGTTTTCTGTGGGTATTTTTTTATGTTCTATTTTCTTCTTTAACCAACTGAAGGGCGCGCATTCTGATCATTTGTCAACGCTGGAAGACGTGCTATTTTGAGTCATGTTTTTTTTTACAAGTTTAACTTTGTTATTAATAACCAAGTTTTCAGTCCATTTGTTTGTTGTTGTTTATTTTGTTTTTGGATTTTTAACTTAAAAATATTGGCTAACTTTAAAATATACAAAATCATGTTTCTGAAATGTATAATATGTCGGTTCGATACGTGCCGAATATTGCCTTTGTTTGTTGCTGATTGGACACATTATAATGAATTCTACGTCTTTAGCGAATTCAAATTTCCTTGTCTTCGTTGTCCTTCTTTTCCCGATGCTCAAAAGCGTTTTCATCTCCATCCTACCAAAACTCAAGTCACAATGCAGAGAACAATTTTCACATGTTGTTTACTATAGCGCTATTAGCATTTCTAAATGTTCTCAAGTTGAACTGAACAATACATGCTGAAGTAGTAACCGTCCCTCCCCAACCCACATTTTGAGTGTGATTAGGTTATTAAGGTGGGGGGGGGGGCAGCAATAGATTTAAAAGTAGCGCTGAGAAGGGAAGGGGGCCAAAAAATTGGAAGGTCAGCACACGCCCCTTTTTTAGACTTTATTTTTGGAACGTCAGACAAAGGAACGACCTGCTAAAGCAGACAGATTTACTCGCCTCGCTGCTGGTCTAGAAGAAAGGGGAAAAATTGAAGAGGGGTCTGGTGCAATGTAAAGTACCAGTGACAACATCAGCGACAATGGAAAATCAATCTATAGAGACACAGCACGTGAATGACCGGTGAGCACGCGAGCTGAACAGTTTTGGTGGATAGATCAGTAGATGGTTCAAAGACAACCATTTGAGCGGTCACTTCTGCAGCATCGTGGCAGCCCTGCTCTATGGTGTTCAATGAACTTATTTTAATGGAGATTAGATGTTGACCATAATCGAGCGCTCTCGGTGCCCCAGGGGCATGATAGTCAAGAAGAAAAAAAAAAGGAACAAAAAGGGGCACTATTTATTTGGTTAAGGACCTAAAGGGGGAAAACCCGTATTATAATGTAAGTGTTTTTTTACGCCACCACCGACACTATTTAGATCATTTAAGAGGCGGGACTAAAAAGAGATGGGATGCAGCTAGATACAGATGCAGACTATAGCCCAGGACAGAAGAAGATGGAGAGCTCCTGATGATGATGATGATGATGATGATGATGATGATGATGATGATGATGATGATG